AAAAAGAAACTATCAACTCCCAACTTGACTCTCACTGGGATTAAACATGACAATAGGTCTGATCTGATTTCATCATCATTAAAAAAAAATCATCTATTATTTTTCACTTTATGTTTCTGTGTGGGAGCAAACTGTTGAAATCCTTACTTAATGTATACTAAGCTGATCTTCTGTATATTAAGATAATCGAAAATGAATCTTGATGTGAATGGAAGGGGAGTGGGAGTGGGAAAGGGGAGGGTTGTGGGTGGGAGGGACGGTATGGGGGGGAAGCCATAGTAATCCATTATTCGTACTTTGGAAACGTATATTCATTAAATAAAAGTTAAAAAAAAAAAAAAAAAAAAAAAAAAAAAAAAAACTCCCCCAGGCACTCCCACTACCCAGGCAGGGTGGACAGTGAGAGAGAGACAGAGAGAAAGGTCTTCCTTTGCCTTTGGTTCACCCTCCAATGGCCGCTGTGGCCGGCGCACCGCGCTGATCCGATGGCAGGAGACAGGTACTTATCCTGGTCTCCTGTGGGGTGCAGGGCCCAAGCACTTGGGCCATCCTCCACTGCACTCCCGGGCCACAGCAGAGGGCTGGCCTGGAAGAGGGGCAACCTGGACAGAACCGGCGCCCAGAGTGGGACTAGAACCCGGGGTGCCAGCGCCGCAGGCGGAGGATTAGCCTAGTGAGCCGCGGCGCCGGCCTTTCCTACCTTTTAGAAGAGTCGCGGCATCCTTTCCTGCTGCCGACGGCAGATGAACCCAGCTGCTCTGCCCATGACGTTCCACGTCCCTGACGCAGCGCCGTGTGCGACGTCGGTGTCCGCGTCCCTAGCGTCGGGGTTGCGTGGGACGTTGTTGGCGGGGCGCTCAGTTCATGGGCCGGCGGTCACGAGAAAGAATGAAGAGGCAGCGCTGACAACTCTTCTCAGAGGTGAGCAGTTTAGGGTTTCATTATGGTTAGGGTTAGTGTTGGGTTCTGAGGTTAGGGTTAGGATGACTGGTAGATTTACCAATAGTTTTTGGGTTAGTTTCAGTGTTGAGGTTTGGTTACAGCCTAATGTTAGGGTTAGGAATAGGTTTAAGGCTATGTTTAGGTTTGTAGTTTCATTAGGGTTAGGGATAGTGTAGGGATTAGGTCAAGTATTTGGTTCATGGTAGTATTAGGTTTAGGCTTCTGTCTAGGGTTTGGGGTTAGATTTAGGGTTAAGGCAGAGTTTGGGTTAGGGTCAGAGTTTGGATTAGTGTTAGGACAACACTAATGTTTAGGAATTCATTAGGGTTAGGATTAGGGTGTAGGTTTAAGGTTAGGATGAGGGTTAGGGTGAAGGTTCATGCTTCTGTCAGGTTTAAGGTTAGAGTTAGGTTTTGATTTAGGATTAGGGTGAAGGTTAGTTGTACATTTAGTTTCAGGGCTTGTGCATCAGCTGGGAATAGTGTTAGGGCTAGGCTGAGGCCTAGGTGAGGTTCAGGATTAGGTTTAGAATTAGGCTTAAGGCTATGCTAAGGTTAGGGTAATTGTATGAATTTGTAGTTAGTGTGAGGGTTGGTGTTAGAGTTAGGTTTTGCACCAAGGCTAAGGCTTGGACTGGTGTGAGGCTTAGGACCAGGACTAGGGGTAAGGCTAGGGTGAAGTTTAGTAGTAGTATTAGGGCTGTGTGACATTTAGGGTTATTGTTTAAATTCAGGCTTGGTTTTAGGGATAGGGCTGGAGTTTGGTTTTGCTCTTGGTTAAGGCCAGGCTAGTGTGGGGATTATGGCCAGGGCTAGGGTTAAGGTTAGAATTAGGGTTAGGGTTAGGGTTAGGGTTACATTTACAGTAAATGTTATGGCTAGGGCTATGGTACCATTAGTATTATAGCTAGGATTAATGGTTAGGGTAAAGGCTAGGAGCACAGTTAGTTCTATGGCTTCAGCTTCAGCTAGGGATGGTGTTAGGTGTAGGCTGAGGCCAAGCATGAAGGTTAGGGTTAGGATTTGGTTTAGGGTTATGCTATGGTCAGAGTAATTGTTAGAATTAATGGTTAGTGCTAGGGTTAGGGCTAGAGTTAGGTTTAGCAGTAGGCCTAAGGCAAGGACTAGTATGAGGCTTTGAGCCATGCCTAGGTTTAGGGTTCCGGTTTGGTTTAGCGTTAGGTTTAGGAATAACATTATTAGTAGTAGGGTTAGGCTGAGTCCTAGATTTAGGGTTGAGGTCATGGTTATGATGAGGTTTGGATTAGAGTTAGGGCTATACTACATTTAGGGTTATTGTTATAATAATGGTTAGTGTTGGCTGGCGCCATGGCTCACTTGGCTAATCCTCCACCTGCGGTGCTGGTGGGTCCCGGTTGGGGTGCCGGGTACTATTCCTGGTTGCTCCTCTTCCAGTCCAGCTCTCTACTGTGGCCCGGGAGGGCAGAGGAGGATGGCCCAGGTGCTTGGGTCCCTGCACCCGCATGGGAGACTGGGAGGAAGTACCTGGCTCCTGGCTTTGGACCAGCACAGTGCTGGCCGTAGCGGCCATTAGGGGAGTGAACCAACAGAAGGAAGACCTTTCTCTCTGTCTTTCTCTCACTGTCTATAACTCTCTCCCTGAAAAAAAAAAAAAAGAATAATGGTTAGTGTTAAAATTAGGGTTAGAGTTAGGTTTAGCAGTAGGGCTAAGGCAAGTTCTAGTATGAGGCTTAGAATCTGGACTAAGTTTTTGTTTAGAATCAGGGTTAGGTTTAAGAATAGTATAAGTGCTATGTGACAAGGGTATTTTTAGAATTTGTGCTTGTTTTTAGGTATAGGGCTAGAATTAAGTTTTACACTAAGGTTAAGGCCAGGGCTGATGTAAGGCTTAGGGCTTGGGCTAGGGTTAGGGTTAGGGCTAGGGTTAGGGTTAGGGTTACGGTTAAGGTTAAAGTTAGTGTTAGGTTTAGGTTAAGGATTATAGTTGGGGCTATGTGACATTTTGTGTCATTGTTAGAATTTGTAGTTGTTGTTAGAGAAAGGGTTAGAGTTAGGTTCAGCACTAAGGTTATGTCCAGGGCTAGTTTGAGGCTTAGGGTCAGGGCATGGGTTAGATTTAGGATTAGGGTTAGGCTTAGGGGTAGGAGTTAGTAGTACAATTAATTAGGGTTATAATTGCTCTTCAGTTAGTGTTATGTTTAGTTTAAATGCTTATGCTGAGGGTTACATCTAGAGTTTGTTTTAGTGCCAAGGCAATGGTGAGGTGGACTATTTGTATTGGGGTGAGTCCTAGGGTTAGGGTTATGGTGAAGGTTAGGTTAGGTTTAGGGTTAGGTTTAGATTTAAGATTAGGGCTCAGACTATGGTAGCATTAGTGTTATGATTAGGATTAATGGTTAGGGTAAAGGTTAGGAATAAAGTTATGTTTAGGGCTTGGGCATCAGCTAGGGATAGTGTTAGGGTTAAGTCAAGGCCTAGGGATAGAGTTATGGTTAGTTTTAGGTCTACGTTTCAAATTATGGTTAGGGCTATACTACAGTTAGGGTAATTGTTAGAATTAGTGGTTAGTGTTACTGTTAGGACTAGGGTTAGGTTTACCAGAAAGTCTAAGGCAAGGGCTAGTGTGAGGCTTAGAGCTAAGCTTAGGGTTAGGATTAGGAATAGTGTCAGGTGGCAGGCTGGGTATGGAGAAAATAACCACTATATTCCTGAAGTTGTACCTATGAAATATGCATTCACTAAATAAAAGCTTTAAAAAATAAAAATAAAAAAAGGAATAGTGTTAGGGCTTTTTGACACTTAGGGTTATTGTTAGAATTTGTGCTTGCGGCCAGCGCCGTGGCTCAATAGGCTAATCCTCCACCTAGCGGCGCCGGCACACCGGGTTCTAGTCCCGGTCAGGGCGCTGATTCTTTCCCGGAGGTTGCCCCTCTTCCAGGCCAGGTCTCTGCTGTGGCCCGGGAAGGCAGTGGAGGATGGCCCAAGTGCTTGGGCCCTGCACCCCATGGGAGACCAGGAGAAGCACCTGGCTCCTGCCTTCGGATCAGCGCGGTGTGCCGGCCGCAGCGTGCCAGCCGTGGCAGCCATTGGAGGGTGAACCAACGGCAAAAGGAAGACCTTTTTCTCTGTCTCTCTCTCTCACTATCCACTCTGCCTGTCAAAAAAAAAAAAAAAAAAAAAAAAAAAAGAATTTGTGCTTGCTTTTAGGGATATGGCTAGGGTTAAGTTTTGAACTAAGGCTAATGCTAGGGCTAGTGTGATTCTTATGTAAGGGATAGTGTTAGGATTAGGGTTAAGTTAAGGGTTAGTGTTAGGGTAAGGGTTAGGGTTAGGGCTATGTGACAGTTTGGGTTATTCTTAGAATTCGTGGTTGGTTTTAGGGAAAGGGCTAGAGTTAGGTTTAGCAATGAAATTATGGCCAGGGCTAGTTGAGGCTTAGGGCCGAGGCTAGGGCTAAGCTTAGGGTCAGGATTAGTCTGAGGGGTAGGGTTATGATTAGGGCCCCCAACTGGCGGAGATGGTCCAGGAGGAAACCTGGAGCCCAAACCTCAGAGGGCTGTGCCATGTGAGTGGCGGCGTCCAGAGCACCGTGGCACGGATGTGTGTCTTGGACAAGAACACAACAGCACAGGCCATGACGACAAAAAGAGACAAATGGGATTCCATTTTTAAACAGATGTTGTTTATTTTTTCGAAGCACAGAGTTAGGAGAGGCAGAGAGAGAGAGAGAGACAGAGAGAGAGAGAGAGGGAGGACTTCCAGCTTCTGGATCACTCTCCAATGACCACAGTGGCTGGAGCTGGGCCGAACCGAAGGCAGTGCCCTCTGGAGGTGCCCCCTCTGTCCCATAGGCCCTGTGTCGGGATCTCATGGGGGCCACCCGTGTCCTGTGCCCGCGGAAATGGTGGATGTGAGCAAGCAGAGGTGGAGAAGCCACTCTAGGCACAGGGAATTAAAATGACAAGCGAACCAGAAACAAAAGTTGCATTTTCAGAACATTTTCAGAACTCAGGGAGCAGGAGGTATGTTTATGCATAAGGTAAAATGTGCTGAGGCGAAGAAAAGTGATCTTGGGTTCCATAATCAGTTTCCAGTGCAACCCCCAAGGCAAGATCTAAAGCAGAGCTTGATGCATTGCATTGATGAATGTGAAACGTGTTGCTTGGGGAAAGCGTAGAGGAGTGTGGCTGGTGCGAGTCTGGCCTGGCTGCCAGCTGTGGAGAGGCCAGGCAGGTGTCAAGAGGTGATGGTGTGGGTCCCCCCACTAGGTGAGAAGGGGGCGGAGCCTTGGGCTGAGGGGCGAGCCCTGGGGCGGGGCTCCCTGGCGCTGCCCTCTGTGAGGTCAGGGTGCATCTGTGTGCGTGGGCGGAGGGCGGGGGCGTGATCCCCTGGAGGCAGCCAGCTTTGGGGGTCCTGGAACAGGAGCAGAGGCGAGTCGGAGCACGGGGCTGAGTGGTAGGTGACCTCGGGAGGAATCTCCTCAGCCCGATGTGCCCCCGCCTGTGGCTGTCTTGGGACCGGCTCTCTCTGGACACACGGAAATGGTGAGTTTGTGCGTGGGGAGGTCAAGAAGCTGCGGCGTCGGCCCCCCAAATGCCCCCGAGGCCCAGGCCCAGGCCCAGGCCCAGCCCAGCTTGACGTGGTGTGGGGAGTGCCAGGTGCGCTGCCAATCTGAATGCGCCGGGACTGCTGGGTGGGCGGGCACTGGGGGCCTCACGCAGGCCCTCCAGGTGTCCAGAGGGGGTTGGGCAAGCCCGGTGCCTGGAGTGTGGGTTCAAGAGGTAAGGTGTAGGGTGGGGGCCGGCAGAGGCTTGGTCCTTGGGGGAGGGTAGGGGGAAGCTGCATGCTCTCGGATCCTCCCCTATGGGTCATGGCGTGTTTTCCTGCCAGGGTCCAGAGTGTGCTTCTGACACCCTGTGGGAGCCAGGCAGAGGGGCGGGTGCGAGCTGCAGGTGCCAGGCACCCTGCTGGCCACTTGGATGGGCTGACAGTCCCATGGCTCTGGGTAGGACAGCGGCAGGTGGCGCGGGAGTTGTGTTTGTGGTCCGTCGGGACGCTCTTAGCTGGTTCCCTCTCAGACAGAACGAGTTTCTGGGATTGGAAGCTGAGTGGGCTTGGGTGGGCTTCCGTGGATTCAGGAAATGCACGCACCCCACCCTGTCCCCCCACCCCCGGTTTCAATGTGTGGCTGAGGGTTGTCTGTGGTACTCCAGCCACAGGGCTCAAAGGGCCACTGGACCAGAGGATGAGAGGAGAAACAGAAGGGCAAGAGGATCACCCCCACCTTTCCGCTGAGAATGGTGAGAACCACGGGCGTGAGGTTGAGGATAGGACTAGGGGGTGTCCTTGGGCTCTCCCGGACTTCTCAGAGGGCTGACAGGAGCTGCAGCAAAGGTGCCGGATGCTCCCTGTGTGGCACTGACCAACACTGGGCCCTTCATTCAGGAGGTTTTCAGTGACATCCTTTACTTGGATGTGTGTTGGGGAGGGAGCTGGTGGCAGGGAGCCTGGAGAACACGTGTGTGATCATCGACAGATGTGTGTTCAGGTGACGTAGGAGTTCATGTTTGTTACTGGGATGCAGACCATGGTCCCCAGGCCCTGCCTCGACATCGGCATCTGGGAGTTGTTGCCTGGCCCTATCGGAAACTTCACGTGCTGCTGGCTAGGACTTCCCCCTCGCCTCCCTCCCATGGCCCTTCCTTTCACAGCTAGATGCACCTTTTTGGTGTCCTGTCCCAAAAGGCCTGCAGTGCCATGTGCTTTGAAACAGGCACACGGCTGAAATGAGGAGGCTTGAGGTGCGGGATACGAATGCCAGTGCGTGTGCGTCCCTGGGATGCATCCCAGGTGTTGGTGCGTCTTGAGGCCAGAGGCAGGCGTGGCTGGGTGACGCTTATTGCCCTGCTGACCTCCCCCACCAGGTTGGAGGACCCGAGATGCTTAGCAGTATTCACTGGGTCACATGTCCTTTGTCGGTGCTCTCTGGAGAAGTGGCCCAGGCCCAAGATGAGAGAGAGGTGCATGAGAAACCCAAGGAAGATGCGGGTCTGCTGTGTCACCTTGAAAGGTGGACTTGGTGGCCGGCGCCGCGGCTCACTAGGCTAATCCTCCGCCTAGCGGCGCCAGCACACCAGGTTCTAGTCCCGGTCAGGGCGCCGGATTCTGTCCCGGTTGCCCCTCTTCCAGGCCAGCCCTCTGCTGTGGCCAGGGAGTGCAGTGGAGGATGGCCCAGGTGCTTGGGCCCTGCACCCCATGGGAGACCAGGAGAAGCACCTGGCTCCTGCCATCGGATCACCGCGGTGCGCCGGCTGCGGCGGCCATTGGAGGGTGAACCAACGGCAAAGGAAGACCTTTCTCTCTGTCTCTCTCTCTCACTGTCCACTCTGCCTGTCAAAAAAAAAAAAAAAAAAAAAAAAAAAAAAGAAAAGAAAGGTGGACTTGGTATCCGTTGGGGTGGTTTTCTCTCTGTGCTAGCTGAATTGAGTTCAGTTGCACGTCAGGGCACCTCGGGAGAGGACAAGCCTCCTGTCCTTCGTGCAGCTGATGCCTCTTGAGCTCCTCAGTAGGGCTGAGAGCAGCAACAAAAAACCAAAGGAAACAGAGCAAAGTCTTCTGCTCTTGTAGGAGCTACAGTCTCCTGGAAGTCCGAGGCAGGCATGCACAGAGTCGTCACGACACGAGGCTTGACGGGATCCAACGCAGCGTCCAACTTTGTGCTTGTGGACTGTTTCCTCAAAGCCTGGAGGGGAGCAGGGAGCTCCTTGCAGGTTGAGGAGTGAGGACTGTTTTCCCCCTTTCCCGATTCCTTTCCGTTTCTCTGTTTGTTCTCCCTTTCCTTTGCATATGGCTCCTCCGGTGTCCCTCCCTTGTGTCCACAGAGGATTCTTGCACACGTGCCTAGTGTCTTGTACATGGACAAGACGCCGCTTGCTTCTGTGGAATTGCACTTGCCACGCTTTGCTGGGATGCCCACGGGGAAGTTCTGTCGTTCTGCAGTGAGCGTTTAGGGTCCTGGGATTCTGGACAAGCTGAGCCCTGAGCAGAGCTTTGCCCAGGTGTTTTTGCAGGGGGCCCCTTGGAGTCGGGCTCTGGGGTGGGGACGTCCTGCTCTCAGTTGGAAAGGAAATAGAGTCAGAGATTCAGTGTAATACAGTGTGATGAGACATTTTTGTCGGTAGTTTGGGAGAGGGCGTGTGATGTGGCCGTGATTACCGGCGCCCAGACCAGTTTAGAGGTGAGGCAAGATGTACAGCCTCGAAGTAGTCTGTGAAATGGTGACTCTCAGCCCATCTGTGAGCTTTGTGAGGTCCTAGATGGTGGCCTGTGCCGAGAGTAGGAGCCAAGAACTTCAGAGTGTTGTGCCATGTGAGTGTTGTGGTCCCAAGCTCCATTGCACTGATGATCTTCTGGGACAGGACCACAGCAACAGAGGCAATCAAGACAAAAAGACACATGGGATTACATTGTCCAAAAGATGGTGTTTATTTTGTCGAAAGACAGAGTTGGGGGAGGCAGAGGCAGACAGAGAGAGAGGGGACTTGCACCCGCTGGTTCATTCTGGAAATGGCCACAATGGCCAGGGCAGGGCTGATCCGAAGGCAGCAGAGAGGAGCTTCTGCATGGACTCCCATGCGTGTGCAGGGGTCCAAAGAATTGGGCCATCATGTACTCTTTCCCAGGCCAGAGCAGAGAGCTGGAGCAGACGTGGAGCAGCCGGGACTCGAGAAAGTGCCCAAGTGGAGTGCTGACAGTACAGGTGGCGGCTTTGCCCGCTACAGCACATCGCTGGCCTGAGGATTTGTGACTGTAAAGAAAATGGAAAGTAGGTTGCCGTAAAGACGAAAAGAAGAATAGAAAAGGAAGGGAGGATGGGCGTGAGGGCTGGAGGATGTGTATGGTGTGTGGAACATCTCTAGGCTCTTAGAACTGTATCTGTGAAATCAATGAATTTCTTTCCTTGTTACTAATTGAAAAGATGTAAAAGGAATACAAGAAAAAAAAGGCCAGCTGGGGTGGTGGTGTGGAGGCAGGGTGAAGGGGATTGGACTTCAGGGGGTGGTCCCTCACCCTGGCCATCTGTTTCATCCTTAGGCACAAGGTATAAGGTGGGGGAGTGTTGCAGTGCTGGTGGTCAGCCCAGCGGGTCCCCGAGCCAAGGAGGCAAGAGAGAGAGCAGGACTGAGTCATAGGTGCCCTCTCGAGGTGCCTCCTCTGTCCCATGTGTCCTGGTGTCGGTATCTGATGTGGGACCACCGGTGTCCCATGCCCAGGAAATGGTGGGGGTGTCAGCGAACGATGGTGGAGGAGCCACTCTAGGTACACTGGAGTAAAATGAAAAGGGAGACCAAAAACAACAGTTGCATTTTCAGAACATTGAACTGAGGGAGCATGAGGTATGTATATGCCAAAGATCAAATGTGCTGAGGCGAAGAAAAGTGATCTTGGGTTCCATAATCAGTTTCCAGTGCAACCTCCAAGGCAAGATCTAAAGCAGAGCTTGATGAGTTACATTTCTGAATGTGAAACGTCTTGCTTGGGGAAAGCATAGAGGAGTGTGGCTGGTGCGAGTCGGGGCTGCCAGGTGTCAAGAGGCCATGCAGCTGGCAGTTTGTGGCAGAAAGTGAACCTCCATTTCAAGATGGCAGCCCCAGTGTCTGGCGCAGCCCTCACTAATCTTGGAGGGTATGGGAAGCAGCCCCCTGGTATAGTTGCTGAGCACGCCTGTGTTTCTGCTGTTTGAAAATCTCGTTTGGTAGTTTATTTATTTATTTTTGTCTTTTCCAGTAAAAATCGTTACCTTGTTTTTACTAAAATTAAAAGGAAAAATAATGAATGCATTCTGGAATATTTCTAAATTAATGGGATAGGGATATGTATTCGAAATATTTTTGTCTTAGATGATTTACACTGTGGAGGACTTTTCCTATTGTCACAATTTGAGTTTCTTTTCATCGTTTTATGTGGCTGGAAAATTTTTAGATTATAAAGTGTGTATTTTTTTTTTTGCTTATTGTTGCTGTTGTTTCCTATTTATTTCTGTTGGCATGAATTGTTCCTATCAGAGAGATATTAGCCAGTGCAAAATGATTGTTTTTGGCCAGCACGCTTGTATTATGAAATGAGGCCCTTACTAAAGAGGAAAATTCATCATTGTTATAATATGCTAAATGGAGAGAATGGAAGATATTCAGACAAATCCAAGAGAGGTTTTCTTTAGCTTTCAAAGATCACCTAAAACTAGTTTTAGGCTTTCTGACAGCCTTTGGGTGTCATTTGTCAGTCTAAAAATGTTCTTGGGGGCACTGCTTGGGATGTCAGACCCTGTGCTACAAGTGCCTAGATTTGAATTCTGGATCCATTTCCAATTCTGGCTTTCCTGGCAATGTGTGTCTTGGGAGACAGTGTCTGGATCCTTGTCACCTACATGGGAGATGGAGTTCCTGGCACCTAACTTCAGCCTGACCCAGTTCTAGCTGTTTGTGGGCATTTGAGGTGTGAGGGAGTAGATGGGAGAGCTCTGTCTCTGCCTTTCAAATGAATAGTTAAAATTTTTCAAAAATGTGCTTTTTATCTATTCTTAAAATTTATTTCAGATGCAGACACTCATACATGCACACACACAAATGTACACACACAATATGCAAGAAACATATAAAGGGGACTCCTATCTGCTGGTTCACTTCCTAATTCCCACAACTACTGAGCCTGAGCCTGGCTGTGTTGAGGAGTTGGGAACTCATCCCGTGTTTCCCACATGGGTGATGGGTACCCAAATATTTGAACCCTAACCACTGCCATCCTGGTCCACATTACAAGAAGCTAGAGTCAGGAGCCAGAAACAGGTACCCAATTTATTGAGCTATCACAACATACCTTCTAAGTCCCCATTAATAGGAAGTAGTGCCAGGAGCCAGAAGTGAATACTGAACCCAAGTACTTCTGGTATGAAATGCAGGTGAACTTAATGGGCATGTTAACTAAGATTTCAAATCCTTTTCCCTTGAGTTATAAAAATCATTACAGTTCTTAACAGTTTTAAAAGGAAATTGAGAACTTACAATGTGTTTTAATTTTATTTACTTCATATAGTTCTCTTTGTGAATTATCTCCATCTTTTTCATATGTGTATACACATTTTATGTAAGTACATTAGTACTATGTGAAGTTTTCTCTTGTCACATTATATGAAATTTATTAACGTATCACACTGATTATAGTTAATATATTTCAGTATTTGTACTGAAATGTACCTCATTTTCTTAGTTCTATATGAAGTTTTGCATTTTTTGCAAATAGG